TCACTTCCCGTCTTAATTACGTAAAAGAAAAGAAGGCGTTCAGCGAAGAGACTCTTTTCGGCGAATTCATTCACTGAGCTGTACAATCGCATATATATATATATATATATATATATATATATAATATTGTTTGTGTGTGTGTACATTAGATTTATAAAGTTTAGGTAATTATGTAATGTAAGTATTATTTGGGTTGGAGACAAACGTTAAGATAGAAAATAAAATAGAATTGATTAAGTGAGTTGGATGACGTAATACAGTTGAGTAGAATTCAGAGTAGGTCAAGTTAGCAACATTTTTAATGAGGGTAGAGATTACAAAAGGGTGGGGTAGAGAATAATGTAAATGAAGATGTGAAATTTTTTATTTTATTTATTTTTATTTTTGATTACAGCTTGATTCCACACCGTATTTTTGGTACAAGTATGGAATTTTCACCGTGGATATCGGTAGCTCAAAATTCGCAGGCCGACCATAGATATCAAGTGTGCGTCAGCGTGGGCTCGAACCCCGGACCATGTGTATGGTTGGCGAGAGTCCTAACCACTGTGCCACCGACGCACAATGCAAAAGACAAAATAATACAATTAGTAAGACTGAAATTAAGAAAGACTACGTCCATTGTAGATTTAATGAATAAACGAATTTTTTCTGTATGCAGAGTTCAGGATTTAGCAGATGAATTGCCATTGCTTCTGCGATGTGGAGAAATTTGATCCGTACACTTTTAAAAGATTGCCTTGTATTCTGTAGATAACTTTGAAGTTTGTTTCTGGTTTGACTTGGTGTCCAGAGTCGATCAAATGTTCAAGGATCGAGCTGCGGGGGCATCGGTTTTCTCCTTAATAAAACCATGAAGGTAAATGTTCGTTGACGCGTTTGGACAGCGAACGCTGAGTACGGCCAATATACCTGGCTCCACACGAGCAGGTGATTGGTAGATGCACATATATGAGGCCAACAGCGGTAGCTTATCCTTCACGTTCATACGAATCATTGGTCTCGTGGGGAACGTCAGTCGTAATTCACCTGCAGGGAAGGTTTTCTTCAATGAGCGGGAGAACCGATTTCTCAGTATTTCTGTAGATTGGTCTCCATTGAACCTACAGTTCATTGAATGAATGGGGATTTTTAAGCTACTTAACTACGTAACTCCTTTCCCACTGTATCTAATAATTCCTACTCGTTGAAACTTGAACTTTCTGGGTATATACATAAGTGTAATTTCTGAGCACTCTTTATTGATATTGGAGTCACTTACCAACTGAAATCATGTAACTTCACAAGTATGTTAACGTTGAGCACTACATAAACTGAGTAATTTCTTTAGGTTGTACACAGTTGATGAAAAGCTGACGGAGTAAACGATGATACCAGCTTATTCTTATATGTGTAAAACTTGGGAGCACTGTGGTAGTAAGTAATTCCATATTAGTTTACTAATATATGTATCACACAGTGAAACAGTATTATTTACTAGATGATAAGGTTTCGAACAAAATTGTTCATAATCATATTAATCACTTATAATCACACGACTTTGAAACTTGAGTTTTATAGTTTTCTTTGTCTTCTCTTATTTGTCGTCGTAGGGGTAGTAGAATTTTCAAGATATCATTCCTAGCACCTGTATTTGCAGTTGATTCAATAGACAAAGCTTCTGTTATCAATCTCTCCCTCCAGTCTGCTGTTACATTAGATTTTAAAACTGTCATCCTATCCCATCCCATCAAATTGTATTGTTGTGTGTAATTGCATGTGGTGTAGTGCTATAGCTGAACTATTCTTATTTGGGGTCAAATAATCTAGATTTTGCTAGGTTTTATGTTCGGCTAGTCTAACTGACTGACCCTCTTCCACTAGTTTAACCTATGAATTTGACCTGACAATCATTTCAGACAGGGTATCAGATAAACTAAATTGTTTTGTGTTAAAAGCCCTACTGGCAGGATCCTTTAACTGACAAAGCTTGTTTCTAATTGACCTTGTGGGTAGTTTGAATGGCAGCCACTTTTATTCCTACCTTGTTAAGAATTCTGCGTAAGGTGGTTTCCGAAGTTCCTTCCTATCCCAGATATCTGGAAAATTCTACTGCCCCTATGACGACAAATAGGAAGAGACAAAGAAAACTATAAAACTCAAGTATCAAAGTCGTGTGACTACAATTGTTATGATTATGAACAATAAATTTTGTCCGAAACCTTGTCATCCAGTAAATAATACTGTTTCCCTCACTGTGTGATACATCTAATAAACAAACTGATATGGAACCAAACCAATACTTGAAAATTAATCTGATGCTCATTAGCGACTGGCCCTATTCAGGCAGTCCACCTGAAGTTCTAGTGGGAAGCCGTGATCAGTAGGGTACAGCAGGTCAATGATGAGGCAGTAACTCATCGAAGAAGACATTGCGAAGTGGTTGTGCTGTGTCATGAATTGGCAGAAGTTAGAATTCAAGAACCATTGGATCGGGTCTCAGTGACTTAATCGTCTAGGAGCTCACTAACCTTGTAACCAGAAGGCCCTAGGTTCGAATCCCGGTGGGTGCGTACTGCTGAGGAGTCCTAAACTAGGACGAAACAGCTCTCCAGTATTCCCTGCAGGTTTTCCAATGGTTCTCTAACTGATGTCAGCTCATGCTTAAATCCTCCATGTAATATGGAACCATCTTATTCTGTCTGCACAAACCCATTGTTATTGATTTATTGAAATATCCAATAGTATTGATCGTGTTAACTGACTGGGAATTTGATCTTTTTGTCATTTGACTTATTGTTTGTTAGTAGATAAAGTTGATCTGTGTGAATACTTAGACATACTGACCACAGACTCCTTTCGGTAACAGTCTCGCTTTAGATATGAAGAATCCCAAACTAGGACGAAACAGCTGTCAAGTCGTCCCTGATGGTTTTCAAAGGTTCTTTTGCTGACATCAACCCGTGATTAAAACAGAAACGCAAAAAAAAATTCTTAAAAATTAAATCTTGAAAAAATGCACATATGATGAACAAAAATTCAATGACTCACCTCTCACCTAACTATGTTGTTTTTCAAAAGTGTAGCCCTCAGTCATCCCATTGCATTCATTATTCAGCGTTCAACTGCATACATTACAATTACCGAGTTATTATTATCTAATCGGGTCACCATTTTCAAGTCAGTCATCCTACACTTATCTAAACACTCCTGTGTTCCAATAACCCTAATTGACCCCGGCCCTACTGGATTGACCTCTGTGCAGTTGACCTCAGAGTCATTAAAACTTGCTTTGTGTGGTAATTTATTTTTGTCTACATAGTCTATCTAAATCGCATACACACAGCTTATCCCTGAGGCATTTTGTAGGTTTATTTGCCACTCTGACTTCAGGTACAATTAAGAATCCTACACATAATCAAACTGTAGATGCCTAAAAGTCTTCTGATGGTTCTACTGCTGTTTTCGCTTTATTTTTTTGTGAGCTTTCTTGATCTTTTGAATGAATTGTCTATAGGATAGTTAGCACTACTATTATTATTTCATTTAGTTCCTAGAGGAACATAAGGCTTCAGACGCACGTATCCATTGCGTTGAGTTCTCTGCCAAGGTTTTCACTTGGATCCACATCTGCAACCCACATTCTTTCATCTCTTCTTCGCATGACCTACTCCATGTGACGATCAACTAACTCACTGAGTACACAGTCATAGCCATGTAGTCATTCTATTTCTGTCAGAGGCGATCAAACGCATACACATACACCTACAGAAGACCCTTGGGATTCGGAAACAGTGGGCCACCGAACTTTTCATTTACCACACGACTACAAGTCACACTTTATTATTGATTATATGAATGCTTATGATATTTTCTCAAATCCGCTAGGCTGAAGTAATCTTGGAGTGTTACTTTGATCTAAGGAACCCCTGTCTGAAGATCAAGTTGTAAGTGACAGAAAAATACCATGTCATCAATACAATGAAGAGCACTAATGGCTCAAGTCTAGACAATATCACTCCAAAATTTTTTCTAATTCACTTTTTATTTTCTCACTGATTGATTGGTCTGAAATATTCGGTCATTATTCTGAGGTGGTTGGCTCTCTAGTACGGACGCTTTCAACAATGGTCACAATCCGCCAAATTATTTCAAGCTAATCCCCAGACAATAGGGAAGGCGGGAAACACATTCACATCAACCTGAAACCAATCTGGAAATCTTCATCACTCAACTCAGCATCAACAACAAAATTCAGTCGGATTTTCAATACAAACAATGTCAAGTCAGTCAGTTCTTCTATGCAGATCAGAAACTTGGCGGGAGGGTCACAAAGAATATTTCCAACAGCTCGTTGAAGACCTTTATTAACAACTGTCTTCACTCTATACCATTTGAGATCAGATGGTCGGGCCGGAAAGAATCACCAATAAGAAACTATGGGAAGGAACAAACAAAAGAAGAACCAATCTCCAACCAATAAATATTATACAGGAGAAAGTGGAGATGGATTGGACACTCACTCGCTGAGGAGGTCGCCGCTGGGTGAAATCGCGTGCGCGTCAGGCCATTGCTCGAGTGGAACCAGGCCGAAAGGGAAGCGGCGAGTGGGACGTCAGTGCAAGGTTGACATGGAGGAGGACATGAAGGGGAGTTGAAACAGTATGGACTAGCATGGATTCAGATGAAAAGTACAGCAGAAGGAAGACAGAAGTGGCAAGTGGAGACGTGCAATTGAAGGCCTATGTACCACTAGGAACCCAAGGGAACAATAATAAAAAATAATCAATAATCATCAGACATCATTGAAGGAGAGTGCGTACTATGAGCCGAGAGACATTTCGACAGAAGCCGGACATTTCGGTCCAATCAATCAACAGGAAAATCAAAATTGGATTTTTTTTTAGAAATCGTAATTGATGCCCATCGTACAAGAAAAGTGCCTCCCGTAGCCGTAGCTGATTTAATGCATGACTTGGTGGTGTTTAAAATGATGGGTACGAGGGTCGAGTCTCAGTGCCAACATCATCACTCACTAGGGAACTCAGGTACATCCAAAAATAGGACGCAATTAGCTACCTCGTCGATTCCACCGTGCACCAAATTACCCTTCCCTAACCATCCTTGGCTAGGAAAAAGAAAAAAGCCGCAAGATTGGCAAAAAAAAGGAATTAATTCTATTATGAAAAACAACAGTAAGAAAAAGAGAAAGAAAGAAAGAGACAGAGTCGGGTAAAGCGCGAGGGAGGGGTGAGGAGGAATTGTAAAAACTCAAAGAGAAATAGCAAGACAGCATGCAAACATTTATACACACAAAGAAAAATACATATCAAAAACTGAAATTGGCAAAGCAAATGGAAAACCACAGTTTATTTGTTTGTTTGATGGTTGGTTTATACGCCTCTTGATACGTTTTTCACGTTAGGCGTCATCACTTGTCTCTCTGTCTGTCTGCTTACCTTCGTAAAGGAAGCATCAATAGAATATCAAAAAGGATCACATTTTCAAGCAAGAGAAATAATAATAATAACAGTAGTACAGCAGAATTGATGCGGGTGGTGTGTGTGTATAGGGTAGGGATCGAGGTGGTTTTAGGGGATTGTACAGACGAATACCATCAAAGATATCTTACATACTTCCAAGAAGATGAAGAAGAAGAGTACAAGCGTCAAGGATAGTGTGTTATTTACACAGAAGGAGATACACACAGCCGCCCACCCACACACACACACACACACACAAGGACCACACATCGCATTTAAGATCAGTGAAGGCAGTAAAGCCTCCCCTCTGGTAAGAAAAACAAAAACAAAACACGGACATACAATACAGAGAGAGAGAAGAACTCGAGCGCAAATGATTGATAAAATCCTAAAGTGTTTACTTGAGAATAGAGGACGGGGTGGGGTGGGGTGGGGAGAGCTAAGTTGATTCTTTTCAGAGAAACAAGAACAAGGATCAAAAAACAAGCGAAAATAAATTTATTATAAAAAAAGAAACAATATTACGTTTTATTATTATTATTATCATTATTAATATTACTAGTTATCGTGGTTGAACGGGTCGTCCACTCAAATGAAAGCAGTAATCAAGGAAATAAACACAAAGTTAGAAGTAAAAGTATTAGTGGTAGTAGGGGTCTACTTGAAGTAAAGAAAAATAAATAGATAAATAAATAAAATAAAATAAGCTAGCAAAAACACACACACATAATTGTCCAAGGATTATTGTCCCTGGATAAATTCTATAAATATATAATATCCTATAAGATGGTAATCGTGGTACGACTGCTACTACTACTATAAGGAACAGTAGTAGTATTATAAGTAGTATATAACCGGAAGAGGAAAAAAGACGGGGGCAACAGACACACACACACACATAAAAATATTAAGAGATCATCTACCTAATCTACGAATAAAAGTTAAAGGAGGTTTCTTTATTTTTTTTCTATTTTCCTAATAGATATGAGTGAGTACTCTTCGCCGTCGTCGTCGTCGCCGTGGTAATGGGGGTGGTGATGGTCTCGAATATAGAATGAATGAAACACCACCACCACGCATCCAAGTGATGTGTACTCAACAGAAAAGATAGATGGATCCTATGTTATAAAACAAGCCAGATCACAACAGCTTGTTTTCATCATGTATATCGCTTTCATTTATGGTCATCCAGTCAGCGTTCAAGACAAGGGATAAAAGAGAATAGCAAGGAAAATACACGAGAGGGAGATAGATAGAGGAAGAAAACAATTCACAGACGGTTCTGACACTTCAAAAAGTGTGCCTCTGATCTTCACATTCACACACACACACACACTGGATGTTATTTCTGAGGTAGACTATCAGTAATACACACACACATATATGTGTGTATAAGGTGTTGGGCGCTTGCATTTATGTCATATTATTATTACTGTTAATCTTTGAAGGCAATCTATTAGTCTCTTGTAGCATAAAATCTCCAGTGAACAGTTCACGAAAATACCATGGCAGTTGTTCAATACTAGTGTCGAATGCTTTCTCTACAAACAAGCCTTGATTGCACAATGTGATTGAACGTAATTCTGTTAGCGCCATTAAAATTCTTGGCCAATATTGTTGATGTTGTAATTGTTGTTGTTGCTGTTGGGGTTGTGGCGGTTGTGATGCCAACGATAGACGGTTTGGCTGAAGTCGTACAGAACGTAACTTTCGTATACGATTAGCATAACGATTAAATGTCTCCAATAAGATATCTTGTGTATGCTCAACTGTCTCACAATCGGTTAAACCAAAACGATCTGGAAGGGGAAAAAATGGAGGATAAAGAAAATGGAAGGATTATTCATCACCAGTGATATTATATAAAGCATAAAATTACGCCGTCCGCCAGGTAGGCTATCGAGTGGGGCTCAATGAGGGGAACAGTGACTACTAATTACCACCATCAGCGGGAGGAATTCTTCTAAAGAGGTCAATTATTTCAGTAACCCAGACAGCATCGTTCCAACTACACACGGCATGTATGAGAATTTCGAAACTAGTCGGGATCGGAAAGCCAGAGTAAAAACACTCATCACTGTGAAATCAGGTGTGAAAATCTGCTACGGAACAAAATCTTAATTTGTAACATCAATGATTTATTAGTTCTTTTATTCGGGTTACAGACTTGAAGAGTCACAATAAGCATTTCCAACAGGATGCTTCAGGCTTATATCAGCAGCTGTCTACACTGGGTCCATACTGAATATCAGAAGGCCGATGGTAAAGAATTAGCAACAAACTATTACTCAACAATATGCAGTAAGAAATGGAAATGGACAGGACACACGCTGAGGAGGAGACCGTTGAGTGACTTCACGTGTCAGACGAATTTACAAGTGGAACTCAAATGAGAAACAATGACTCAGGCGTTGCGGTTCCAGTGTGACATGGAAGAGATAGTGTGAAGAGGAGATGATAGCCGCCTATAGGTGGGTAGTCATGGAGTCAACTTAGGACGACTGTAAAAGAAACAAGATAAAATGGCAATGAGCTTTGGGAGACCTATGTTCCACTGGAGATCTAAAGGAATAAAAGTAACAATAGGGCTTCGATAAAAATATCTTCGTTTCTCTGAAGTCTGTTTCAGGTGGCCCCAGCACTGCTCATCAGTTTACATTCCATTCACACAAAGTAATAATATTAATAATAATAATGGCTTCATTCCAAACATTTATGCTTGATACAATGTGAAATCTTCAGTATAAATTACAACACTGTACCTAATATCCATGTGCGAATGTAGCACAGAAGTAGGATGCTCACCAATCATTCAGGTGATTCGGGGTTCGATCCCCGGCCACAGACATGCACGTTTACCTCACTAAGCCAGTAATAAAACTGGTTAAGAGGGAAGGTTGGGCATGAGGCTGGTTAGCAAACCCATCCCGTAAAAGCAAACACTAGTGCTACCGAAAACCTTAAGCCCCATGTTCCGCAGGGAACGTAAAGGTATACAGAAAACCTATAATACTCTTTACATTTATATAGTAATGAGGAGAAAATAATAAACTGGCCATTTACATTGATAATGATGTCAATAAGAATATGAATTTGAAAAATGGTAGAAAGAATCGCTAGTTCACAGTAAGTTCCGCAGTTTCATCGTGAACACCTTTCTCATCATAGAAAATGTTCGTCAAATAAGATATTTAAGAGTATTTATATTTAGTTGTCCAAGCATAAAGTCTTTCATGATTACTTCTGCGGCTTGTGATACTGGTTGACTGGTTACAGGATTTCATCATGAGCTGACATTGGTTAGAGAACCATTGGAAAACCTGAGACTACTGGACGGCCTGCTGTTTCGTCTTAGTTTGGGACTCTTCAGAGGTAAGCACCAATGGGGATTCAAACCCAGGACCTTCTGCCTACAAGTATGGTGCAGCAGGTCGAGTGTGAGGACAAATACTCTTCACCGAAGACATTGGCTAGCGGTTGCGCTATATCATGAATTGGCAGAAGTTGGAATTCATGAGCCATTGGGTTGGGTCCCAGTGGCTTAATAGTCTAAGAGCTCACTAGCCATGTAACCAGAAGGTCGTGGGTTTGAACCCCAATGGGTGGGTGCACATTGCTGAAGAGTCCCAAACTAGGACGAAACAGCCGTCCAGTACTCCTTTTTTAGTTTTCCAATGGTTCTCAAACCAATGTCAGTTGATGATGAAATCCTGTAACCAGAAAGGAGATAGATTTGATGCCAGAGAAAACAAATGAATCACCATTGAGGAGGCCAGTGAGAAATATGAAACGGACAGAAAGAAACACACAGTAAGAAAGAAACACACAGGAAGGGGAGAATTAGTACAACACGGAAGATCTGTGCAAATGGTGCGTTGCAGATGAGGTGTACATAATTTCGCTACATAGAGATTCCTTTACCATGGCTGTCGTCTTCTACCGTTACACTTCTAGACTTGCCTGATAAGATGAAAGGCAAGAATTATTCTATTAGTCCTAAAAGATGATATTCACTAATTTCTTGCATGAGTCCAAGAGAGTCGATAGTCTACACGAATTTTAACAAGATTAGCGACACTTCTATTGCCCTATTGATAGTATTTAATGACCTTATCAATGTAAAAAAGGTTTTTCGAAAGTCCCCCAGGAAAGATTAATGTCCTTCATATCATTATGGACAAGATTTATTCCGATAAATTCTCACATTGTTATACAGTAATATTTACTGATGACATCATTTCGAGCACAATTTACTACTGCTCAACATCTAGCTTCTTCACATATATAAACTCACTAGTCAAGGGAATTAAAATTCACATTTGAATCGGAAAATGAACAAGGAGAGTTAGCTATGAAGTTAGATTGTAAAATAAAAAGGAAGAGAATAAGGTAAACTGCATACTACCGTTTATAAAAATAAGCCGGCGCATTCTGTTTATAGATATTTAGACTGTAATTCATCTCATCCGTCTGTCTGTCTGTAAAGGCTGGTTTAGTTAAGTGCTGTCTAACAAACCGACCAATAGCACTAAGTAGCACGAGAAAAGACCTAAATGATGAAATGAAACAGATAGAAGAGGCGTTGGTGTTAAATAACTGACTATCCTATAAAATTCATTAGGAAGATCGAAAAAGGCCAAAAGTGAAACAAAAAATAATTGTGAAACTAGTAATGATAACATAAATAAGAGAGAATATAAGGCGTCTACAGTTTTACTATATAATGAAGGGACATATAAAACCCTGGGTAGGATTCTCAATAAATAATAATAATAATAGGGTGACATTTAAGACTACAAATTCACTCAGATAGGACAAGCTGTGTAGGTTAAAGGACCCTGTAGGTTAGTTAACCCAATTAGACAAAATAATATAATTTACAAACTACCCTGCAAACACTATCAGCGAGGTCAACTACATAGGTCAAACTAATAGGTCGGGAGGGGTTAGTCAGATTGTGAATACACACAAGAATTTAGCCACGGTAAGAATGATTGACCCAGCCACAAGGATAAGTAACTTAGAAAAAAGGCTCAACAATTTCACTGGAGACGTTAACACACACACGCACACACACAACCCAACACGTGCAATAGGAATAACTCATCACTCATACCAAATATATATGCAAAATATTACTACCAATCAATCAGTCAATCCAAACAAGAGATGAGAAATAGTGGGATCACATAAACGCGGTCTTATCCTTATTGTCCTTCGCGGAACTACGTCCAACTCTTCGCTTCTTATTAGGTTGTCGTCTGCGTAGAGTATGATATCCACTCAAAGGTCTCTTCAGACTATGTTCAACTCGTATATCTTCAGGGACAGGTTCTTGATTGGTTCGTTAGCTGTTAGAATTGCTTATTGTTTATCCTTTCTAGGGTGGCTGGCCATCTGATCCTCAGCATAAAGATGGTGAGAGGGCAGCTGTTGATGAAGGCCTACTCTGGCCTATTTCAAATGCTTTCCGGTAACGCATGCATCAACCACATAAAAGCATTGACTGAATTGGAACATACTTCTGTCTCCGGCTGCTTTTTTTTTGTTCAGGGTCAACGGTAACTTGGGTAGATGACCTCTTTCCCCCCATCCTCAACTCAATTTGAAAAACTATTGATTTTTTAAATAACTTATCAGCTGATTAGAACAACAACAACGACAAAAAAACAGATAGCCTCTCTCTGTCTTTGTGTATACAGATATACGACCTGATAACATCTGTGATGTGATGTTGACCCTGACGCATTATTGGTTATCATTATTATGATAGTTGACTGTTTCTGTATAGTGAAGAACGAAAAACACACACTGACTGACCTGCCGTAGACTAAGGTGACTAAAATATTCACTGTTCTCTCTTAACGCGGAGTGAGATAAGTTTTGTTTTTAGGTGAATCTGATTGGAAGTTGGTTTATGCATGCATGCGCTGACCTCCGTACCCACCCATCCACCCAACACACACAAACAAATACAGAGGTTACTTCGCTTTCAATTGACCTCATATTTTGCGTATGTGTGTGTACACTAGGCAGTTCGTTTCATCTCCACTGACAACCTACGGTATAGACGTTTATTTCCAGAGATATTGTAGGCGTGATGGGTGGTACAGCAAGTGAAACAAATATACAAACAAATAAACACGCACACATACTACTGACACACAAACAGACATAAGCAGAAGAAAAATATATGGCCATAAAATTTCAGTATTCTTCTTCTTATCAGTCGTACTATAAAGGTCATTAAAGAAATGACTAGGCCAATAATTCATACATAGAAGAAGAAACTACCATAGACGAAAATTAGGAATTAAGTGACAGTCATTTTCGTTTTAAATAGTGTGTGAATACTTACTAGACAGAAAGCATGTATACACGCACACAGACATAAAGAGGTTTTTATCGAGGTTTAATCACAAATCGATTGATGCATCAGTTAGAGAAATGTTGGAAACTACCGTGAGAAGTAGTGAATCGGCGTTTCATCCCCCTCTGGGACTCTTCAACAGGAAGCACCCACGAAACCACAGCTGAGGATCAAAGCTCTCGCTGATATCTCAAATATAGGGATAAAAGCCAGGATGCATAATATAAACTCCGACCGAATTTTGTTGTTGATGCTGAGAGATGAAGATTTCCAGATTCGTTTTAGGTTGATGAATGTGTTTCTCGCCCCCTCCCCGATTCTCGCTCGATTTGACATCGTCGTCCGTCCCTCCTCCTGTAGTTGAGAAAATGCTCCCTAACCTCTTTCAAATCCCTCTCGTTGATGGTGATTGGCGATGGATGTTATAGCTGTTGTTGTTGTTGGTTGGTTATTTCCATAACCTCCATCTTGTCTGTGTTCAATCAGAGTCCTGTCTTCGCTGGCTGCTTCTTCGACCAGTTTGTCGGTCGGTTTTCGCTTGTAAGTCTTCGATTTTGTGACAGTGACATCAAACGTAAATCATCCACACGCGATATCCAGGTCTTCTAGGTTCTTCACGTCCGTCCAGGATATCCCTGTCTTCTCGTTTCCCACCCACTGTCTGACGCATAATCCAGTCCACCACAATTAGGGTTATCATTGGTGATAATAAGCCCCCTTGTCTGACTCCTGCGTTTGCTCCAAACGCCTCGCTGAATTTTCCGTTGTGGATCACTTGACATGTGCTGTTGTCGTACAGCTGTTGAACAAGGATGATGAATATTTGGGATACGCCTTAGTACTCGCCTAGATTACTAGCTCGCTAGTTTTCTAGCTGATCCCAAGCCCGGATATAGAGAGAGGGTTGCAGCCTGCTGCTAGCAACTCCATCCCCAAAACTTGACCAAACTGCTACAGAAACTTTAACGCATAGATATCCAGTTGTTAATACTGCATTTCAACTGTGTGTTATATCAAATAATCTTATCTAATGTAGAACCAAGTTCTGGGAACTAGTCATGCTTGCCAGCTAATCAGTCAGTCAGCTTAGAAGTAATTCAGATAACGGAGCGTTGTTTCACTGCTGTGTGACCAAAAGTTTAAATTGGCGGATCTTTCTAAGACTGAATGAATCATCTCACAAAGCCGAATCAGTTCAAAGCCTAGCTACTTTAGCGAACTGGTAATATATATCACATCATATACGGTAGTTTTAGAAAAATTATCTTTTAACAGTCTGTGGTTCATTCCGCAAAAAGTTTTTATTATATTACGTGGTATTTATTCATCCTCTGTCTTCCTGAGTGGTTGTGGTAACTTCCATAAATTATCTTTAGGTATTTCCGTTTATGCTGTGGAGTATCAACAGAATAATTTAGAAATAAATATTACAAATGATGACCTGTTGAAACCACTGGGCTACTTTAATTTTCATCCAGCATAACAATGCCCCCACCACACCTCTACCTTAGAACATCTGATAGAAACCGGACCCCGAGCTACACCATAAACAAACTTCAAAGTCGTCTACAGATTAAGAAGTAGTCTTCCTAAAGGAGTACGAGTCAGGCTCTTCAAAATGCAGAAGCAGTGACGATTCACTTGCTAAACCCTGAACTCTGCATACAGAAGGAGTTCGTTCAGTCACTACACTTGCAATGGACGTAATCTATCGTATTATCCGACAGGTAAATTCTACCTAACCCCCTTTTTTCTGTCTCTTCATTAGTATTATTCCTCAAATGTAATATTTTAGATTTCCAACTAGTTCTCTACCCCCATCCGATTTAATTTCTACACCTCACTACCAAGGTTACTGACTTGACCAACACTCAATTTCTAGTCATTTACGTTACGTCATCCAACTTATTTGCTCAATTTCAGTTCTCATTTAAATGGCATGATTCTCTACCCCACTTCTACTTAGTCTCTACTTGCAATTACCTCTGTTGCTCTCCTGACCTAGGTTGAAACATTTTAGTCAAATATATTACGTTATCTAACTTACTAACTCAATCTTACTTTAGTTGCTGTCTAATTAACCTTGTTTCTATAATAGATCATTCTTATATTACCCAATCAATTATCTAAACTTGACAAACCTCATGTAAACACACACATACACAAATAATTATATATAAATGCGATTGTACAGCTATGCGAATGAATTCGCCGTCGAAAAGAGTCGGTCTCTTCGCTGAACTTCTTCTCTTCTTAATGTGTATCTACTTCTTCTTTGTTTCTTTTTCTTGTCGCTTTTAATTTTCCAGTTATGCCCATAGAGCACACTGATTGACTGACTAATTTCAACGAAGAACTTTGCACAGGTGTGCATCAGTTTGAGCTGCCACTTTCCCTCTATTTACCACACAAAGTCAGCGTCGGTGGCACAGCGGTTAGGACGCTTGCCGACGATGCACATGGTCCAGAGTTCGATCCCCGGCCACCAACGCACTCCTTTACCTCGCTAAGCCAGTAATACTGCTGGTAAAGAGGAAAGGTTGGGCATGAGGCTGGCTAGCAACCCTATCCTGTAAAAATAATCACCACTGCTATAGAAACTTCAAGCCGCTAGCTTGAAGGCGACCTATGTTCCACTGGGGAACGCGAAAACAGACAGACAGACAGGGGAACGCGAAGGAAAAACCCTCACAAAAAGCAAGAGAAGAGAGTAAAGAGAGGTTCGAAAGAGAGAGAGAGAGAGAGATGGAAAATGAATAGTAATATGGAAGAACAATAGAAGTCAAAGCATCTGTGCCAGCCATCACCAAGAACAATCCTGAGCCATATCACTAATAATTGTCTCCAATCTTTATTTGTTCTTATCATCACATGGATCCCAACCAGAAAGTCTACACCTACCGACGTGTCTGACTGACTGGCTTGAACTATAGTGCATTTCATTGACTGATGAAGTCATGCCTTGGTTTCACCATCCACCCACCCACCATTAGCTAACTCTTTTACAACCTTATCCATCGTATGTTAACAGCTAACAACATTGCCCGTCGGTCGACGGAGGCGATGGCTAGACATGCATGAATAACACACATTTCCTAACCATCTCTCTCTCTCTCAATCGGTGTAACTTCACAACCTCATCGATTCATATCCCCAGCCACCCACCTACCTAACACTCGAGAAATGTCTAGTCTGAATATATAACTCATCATATCACACCTACCACCTACCTAACACAGGAGATAGAACTCAGACACCTGTCACACCAAAGACAGCTAGCTAGACAGGCTTTTCATATCCTCCACTTTCAATGGCCATGTCTCACTCATAGCCAGCGATAAAGGAGTAAATATTTTTCAAAAAGTTAAATTGAGCTTTTTGTAACTCCAGAATAAAGTAGATATGATTATCATTATTATTACTAGTATTAATTAAGTGTTAACTAAGGGAAAACAAAACAAAACTTCACGATCAACTTACCCGGTGACATTAATAAAATAGCTGTCATTAAAGCGACTTCAGTTTGATCAATTTCTAGACGAGCTAGCTTCAGTGCAACACCACGTATCATTTGTGCACATTTAGCATCAGAAGTACCAAGTTGTGGATAGATATTATTTGGAATAATCGATGTGACACCGTGTTGTGGTGGTTGGTGGTGTGTTGCTATACCTGAGTGCAGGGGATCACTTGACTCGCCCACTACTCTTCCTCCTACTGACAATGTGTTCACCATCATCAATTGGGGCTTATTATGATGTCCATTTGAATCAATAATTCCAAGTGTTATAGCTATACGACTCAGTAGATAGGCAGCACGTAAAGTGATAATGTCCAGACAACAACCACGCAGTAGACGTGTTTGATCGTTGGCATCCAGCTGGAGGAAAACAGAAATATTAAAAACATCAATAATCAATAATGATGACTGATATGTATCCACATGATGTGTGTTTTCTTTTTGACAGTCTGTTATATTTTGCTATGTGTGTATGGATCGATATTCCATTATAACTGACATTATGCTTTTGTCTGTCCAATAACTAAATAAACAATGCATGACCTTATTATCACATGACATTACAACCAATCATGATAAGACGTTATCTTATTGGTTCATGTTTATTAGCCATTTTCATATATACTTTTGTATTACACACTTGTTCATTCTGTTCACATACTTTTTCGTGCACTCGTACCATTTCACTCACACTCTTGTGTGACATTTATTTTCCTTGCCTGGAAAATACAAGTATCATCGTAAACCTCGTCGTCTTCTGATTTCCCTCTTTCCGCGTCAGGACTATTAACTACTCGACGAGTACATAACATAATTGGCGACAGGGAAAACTTACTATTAACCACTCAGCGGCAGCAGTACATAACAATGACAATAGTAACAATAGTAGTCGGCATACTGTAAATACAGTGATTTTATTACAGGATTTCATCATGAGCTGACATTGGTTAGACAATCATTGGAAAACCTTGGAGTACTGGACAGCCAGCTGTTTCGTCCTAGTTTAGGACTCTTCAGTCATACACACCCACCGGGGTTCGAACAGAACTGTATGCCCATCATTTTTTTCATAAGCAACTGGGGTACCAGCGGTTGAATGATCTACAAGTTCGCCTGAGTTCAAACCCCGATAGGCGTTTATTCTGTTAAAGTGTCTCAATAACTAGTTGTGGGGGGGGGCGGAAGCTGTCCACTACTCCTGGGTTGTGCGTCGGTAGCACGACGGTAGAGTGCTCGGCAACCACGCAAGTGGTTCGGAGTTCGATCCCCCAACCAGCAACACACTCCTTTACCTTGTTAAGCCGGTAATAAGACTGTTAAAGAGGGAAGGTTGGACTGTGTGTGCATGTGGCTGGCTAGCGACTCCATCCTGAAAAAGTGAACACCACTGCTACAGAAACTTCAAGCCTCTAGCTTGAAGGTGTCCTATTTTCCAATGGGAATGTAAAGTAATGAAAATAAAAACACCAGCATGGGTGGTTCAGCGATAAAATATTGGCCAGTCGCGCCTAACAGGCTAAAGGGTTCGATCCTTCAACAGATGCGCACTCCTAAAACCTCGCTTTTTCCGTAGTAAACTCGATAAAGAGATAAATTGTGATGTGAGGCTAGCAACCTCACACTGTAAAATTGAAAAAATAAACGTCTTGAAGCCCTACATTCCACTCGGAATGCAAAGGATTAAGGCGAAATTCCCAAGGATAGTTGTTATTCAACTGATTTTTATACGTATTATTGCTCGTTGTTGCCCACCATGGATAATGTCTACACATGCACATGAACATTTACCAGCATAGTTGTTACAAAAGAAAAGAGAACATAGAACGGTTAATAGGTCAATTCTGAATTTCTCCTCCTGGTCCCACAGCATCAGAAGACACGATCTAACGAACCAAAAGGATTTCATTTACATGTTCTTCATGCTTTCAAAGCTTTACCAATCTGACAAGGAAAAACCCGGACTTTACACGTTCACAAGCCTTATTTTTTATCCGAACTCTTTCACTATCGTCATCTAAGTGTCAATTTTTGATTTCCCAAATAGCTGGTGGTATGGGCAAACCCTCTGTAGTCCATTTAATTTTTTTTTTATTCCAGTGTTGGTTTAAAGGGATTTGATTGGTTTCAGGATTTCATCATGAGCTCACATTAGTTAGAGAATCATTGGAAAACCACCTGGGAGTACTGGATAGCTATTTCGTCCTAGTTCGAGACTCTTCAGCAGTACGCACCCACCGGGATTTTAGTAACCCAATTTCTGTGTGATGCTCACTAGTGGCAACTGGCCCTATTCAGGTAGGTGGTTACCTGGGTTCTGGTGACCAATAAAGTACAGCAGGTCGGATGTGAGGACAAATGCTCACTAGAGATAACATTCACTAGTGATCGCACGATATCGTAAATTACCAGAAGTTAGAATTTATCGTTCAGCTCCCTATGGCTAAATGGTCTACGAACAGCTCATCCTGTAACCGGAAGATCCTGTGTTCAATCAAACCTCTCAGTATTTGCGTACTTATGAAAACTTCCAAACAAAGATGAAACAGCTTTCAAGTATCCCCAGCTGGTTGGTCCAGTGGCCCTCTAACCGATATCTATTCATGTAATCCTTAGTTCTTTAGTTTTTTTTTATGACAGCTATTTCCAAATGATTAGTCATCATTCAACTTATTAGTTGTCAGTTCTCCCAATTACGTAAGATTATTTACAATGTTTCAAACATTGTTATTACTCGTACACTTCAATAGATTTTTATCACTAACTGTCAATAACCTCTAACTTCAATTAAGATTGTACCGATAAATTCTTTGAAGTGAAGTTAGGAAATGAGGAGATCTGTATTGCTAACTGACTTATGTATTTAAGATAAGATAATAGCTTTATTCCACAACAGTACTTGTGATACAGAATGGAATTCTCAGCATTTTTAATACAATATTGCATCCAGTTAGTACATTAACAATAAGTAAAATTCTACGTAGATTAAAGTTATCTCAGTCAGTTTTGACAACAACATATTAACATGTCGGTAGCAAAGCCAAAATTTAAACATAGTGTTTGAAGGTGTTAGAAAAGTAGATACTACTAGAATATTTGCTGGCGTAAGCGATAGCAAAATGGTCGAGATATACACAGTGTGAAAGAACGAACAAGAATGTTTTAAGTAGAGTTTGTAAGGAAGAGAGAAACAAAACAGCACATAACAAAAATAAATACAGAAAACAAAAGGTAAAGAGAAAAACGTTGTACCTGTAAATGATGTGACTTGGAAAGACGAGATCCATTTGTTCTACTGACAATTTAATAAGTTAAAGGTTTCACGCCTAATGTTTTCTTCATCGCACAGAACACGCGCTAAGTAGGGTATGTTCTTTCTTAATCAAGATATTTTCCATAATAGTTTGTTTATTAGAGGTATCACACAGTGAAACAGTATTATTAACTGGATGACACAATTTCGAACAAAATTTATTGTTCATAATCATATCAATTGTAATCACACGACTTTGATACTTGAGTTTTATAGTTTTCTTTATTCTCTGCTATTTGTGGTCGTAGGTAGGGGTAGTAGAATTTTCCAGATATCTGGCTGGACAAGTGTCGAATCCTTCCTATTACACGTATTTCCTGTCAGTTGATTCGATAAACAAAGCTTTTGTTGTCAATCTCTCCCTCCAGTCTGTGACATTAGATTTTTAAATCGTCATCCTATCCCATCCCATCAAATTGTATGGTTGTGTGTAACTGCATGCAGTGAGTGGTATAGCTGAAGTATTCTCTAGATTTCTTATTTTATTTGGGTCAACTAATCTAGATTTTGCTAGGTTTTTATGTTCGGCTAGTCTGACTGACTGCCCCCGTTCTACTAGTTTGACCTATGTATTTGACCTGACAATCATTCCAGCAGGGTATTAGATAAACTAAATTGTTTTGTTTTTAAGGATCCACTGGATTGAACCTTTATCCGACAAAGTTTGTTTCTAAATGAGTTTATGGGGGGGGGGTGAGGGTTTGAATTCCAGCCACTTTTATTCCTGTCTATACGCAGCTGTCACCTTGCATTTCATCTGGTAGAACTAGAAGCAGCTATAGGTGGTTATATGCTAGGACTACCAAATACAAAAACTTCACAATACCATATCTAGCACAGCTGTCATGTAATGAGAAATCCGTTAGGTATGACACGATCAACTTACTGCGGCACTCTAACAAATAGTCCCATTAGATTTTGTTTTCCTTCCCTCGTTACTATTACACTGTTGTTCTCATCCTCTGTCACACATCAACTTTATATTTCATATCCTGTGGTGCATTGATTGAAATGTAAACTCTACGCTGTTTTTTTAAATTTTTTTGGCGTTGGTTTTTATTTATTGATTGATTTTCGTATGATTACAATTGATATGATTATGAACAATAAATTGTGTTCGAAATTGTGTCATCCAGGAAATACTGTTACACTGTGTGATACATCTAATAAACAAACTAATATGGAATAACTTACTATCACAGTGCGCCCAAGTTTTACACATATATTAACAAGATATTTTCTCACTGGAACTTATGCGGAGAACACGAAAAGTCCAAGGCATAAGTTGAAACAGAAAGCGTAATTCGAAACAGTATGTGTGTTTGATAGCACAGGGCATTTTGATAAGTTGAAATTCACGCAGACCAGAATTTTATTCAATAAACTTCATGGTCTACATACTACCAGTTGGTTGACATGTATAACTGGATACCAACCACATAAAGCGGTAGTGATTGTTAGCCACGTGAAGGTGAACGAAATACTGTAGGGGACGTTTTTCTCGGTTGGGGTCCAAGCTTATTAGCCGAATCAGTAAGATATAAAAGCAACCTAATAAATTCCGGCTACTCACCTACCTACACATTGATGAACCGGTAGAAATGCATATTTATTTATTTTGATTACAGCTTGATTCCACACTGTATTTTTTGCTACGGGTATGGAATTTTCAGCACGCGATATTGGTAGGCCAAATTTTGCAGGCCGACCATAGACATCAGGTGTGCGTCGGCAGGGGATCGAACCCCGGATCATATGCATGGCCGGCGAGAGTCATAACCGCTGTGCCACCGAGTTAAGTCAACAACTTTCCCAATTGATAAACAGTTCGAAGTGAAATTCCACCACGACGCTTCCTTTGGAAACCGGAACTATTCGAACCACTATAGTACGCCATCTGCTTGCTTTTCGAAACAAAACTGCGTCATCTAACTAACATAGAACTGGACTCAGAAATCCAGCAGTTGGAGTTGCTACACTCCATATATTACAAAAAGTTAGAAAAGAAAAGAGGTCAGAAACAACTATAATAAGCCAAAATATCAGGATTAAGGAATAATGACACGGAGAAACACGACGCTTTAGTAGACATCAAAGATGACACAAAGAGTGCATGCATCAGCGCTATTGAATAATGCTTTCGAGTGACATATCATCACTATCAACTTAAGGCAATTGGTTTTTAACATCTGGAAGATACCAGTCAAGTAGCCTATATCATTCTCTACATTCCTGACTTGGCTTAAACCAACTGTCAAAGACTTTATGGATAACTGCGTAATCTAGCCAGGGGAATTGGAATCGAAGACAATTAAAGCAATCATGGTATTGAATAATGACTATAGTCTAGAATTATTTTGGTTGATTTACATTCTAAACTTATTAACTTACCAATTCAAATCCAGGAACTAATCTAGCGAATGCAACAAGTGAAGCAATCATTGGTTCAATAAGTGATGTGATCTTTGAATCTGTTGAAGCGTAGAATGCTTTCTCTGGATCTTTGTCAATATCTACACCGTCATCCTGTCGACACAAAAAAAGAACACAACAATAATACAAAGAAATAAATTAACACAATCTGAAATAACAATTTTAGCAATAATAAAAAAAGGGTATTTCTATCAAATAATAAGCAGTTTGGTCTAAGTTGGTTTGTATTTTCTTATCTCTGCCTGTGTGTCAGCCTCCAGTACGGGTGCTTCGACAATACCTAGAGATTCACATGATTTCATTTCGCTATATTCAGGGGCATCATCTGGATGCATCTCCAATCCCCAGTGAATGATGATGCCCCCCCTCACTCAGACACTCGGAACCAGTAGCTTTCGTTTCAAAAGTTAAAGTGTTGTCCACTGAACCACTTTGATCACAACAGGGGATAACTTATTACTTTATTTTGCTGAATTCACTTAATCCCATTGATTGGTCCAACAAAAACTCTCGGCTTCTAGTACAGAAGGGTCAGTGATACTTGAGGATTAGCATGACGTTACTTGGTGGATGATGACGCGTATCTCTTCTTGTTTGGGACTCGTCAGAAACTGGATGTACATACATTCTACTTCAGCGACAAGAGCCACCGTTTCTTGTGCAACGCGGGTCATATTAATTATTTCAATTGAATTTTAGATTTTCCCTTCGATCGATTGGACCGAAGTGCTCGATCTCAGCTTGATATGTCTTTTGGCTTCCTCTGTAGATGCTTCGACGATGTCTGGGCATGTAATTCGAAGTGAATCGGTGGATGGTGACTAGAAGTGGTGGAATCCAGAATAAAGCGCATTTCATCCTAACCAGGAGTCGTCATCTGGAAGTCCGTCAGTTTTCAGCATAGAACTCTGCACCCATGTGCAACAGTTAGAGTCTCCACACTCCCTCAATGTAGCACACAAAGCAAGAGAAGAAAGTAGAAGAAATGCATAATAGAGACAGTAAGCAGAGGTGTGAGGCAAAAGAATGGTAATAACGAACAACAATATAGTTTCATTGGAGATCATAAGTCACAAGGAGTGGATGCATCTGCGCCAGCCATTGAGAACAATTTTGAGCCATATCACCAATTGTCTCCAGTCTTCATTGGTTTTTACTATCCTAAGGAACCCAACCTGGAAGTCTACACCTTCCTAAGTGGCTTAGACTAACTGCTGTGGATTTCAATTACTGGTGCCATGTTTTGGTTTGACCACCACTAGCTCTTCTCCAGTCTGACTCTATGTCAGCTTACATTGCCCATTGTCGAGGAAGGCGTTGGCTAGACAACCGTAACTCATGTCCTAACCATCTCTCTCAATCGGTGTAACTTCACAGCCTCGTCGATTGACTTCCCCTCTAACTCACCTAGCACTCGACGCCTAACCTCAATATTTCTCACCATATTATACCACTTCAGACGGGAGATAGAACGTAGGCACCTATGATCAAAGACATCTAACTAGCCTTTTCTTGTCTTCCACTTTCAATGGCCAGGTCTCACAGCCATGAAGGAGGACGGAGCGGACTTCTGAGCAGTACATCCGCCCTTTGGTCGACAGTCATCCGGATATTATCACGTTTACGACAGAGACGGGGTAAATTGGCATATGCGAAACTAGCCCTCTGTATTTGTACTCAGCTGAGATTTCGTCAGAGATCAACCCGTTGGCGTTGGCTGATGTCAACCTGAGACCGAGAGCTGTTCGGTCAAATCGATCGATGGGAAAACATCTAAAATTGAATCAAATTACTAAGGCTGGCTAGACAAAAAAACAAATGCATAGATGGTATCAACACAATATATAGAAAAAAATTGTAATGGTAATAGACATTACCTTTTGTTTAAAATTTGGATTTAACATATTACTATAAGCTTGTACAATAGAATCAACCATATTTTGATCTTCAATTGTCCATGGACAATCATTGTATCCTGTTTCACTGGAATCGATTCCAGCACCACTACTCCCACTAATGCTACTACTACTACCACTATTAGTGCTGCTGCTCCCACAACCATTTTGTTTGAAAGATAAAGGCAGCGAAGTGTTATTATGATCATTTTGAATTAGTGTTCTGGTTGTTGTTGTTGTTGTTGCTGTTGCTTTTCTGGTTGTTTTACCACAGACAAGAAGAGGTGGACATTTATCTGGTGTTATTATAGGCGAATATAACTGACGTTCACAATATACATTGGTATTGTCAACACTATTATGGCTCTTGTTATATATCTGATGAATGTCTATAGATTTGGGCAAGTTTTTCACACTCACTATATTAGATTGTTGTTGACTCCTTTGACTTTCATTCGGTGAATTCAGGTAATGATGATGTTGATTGAAAGGTTGTAATGTTGTTGTACTATTATTATTATTATCCATCTGTTGGATTGTACTTCTCTGTAGTTGAACACTGTTCCCTGATTCATGGATCGATTTGACTTGAAATGTAGAATGATGTTGATGATGCTGGGGATTTGTATTCACAGGATTAGTGAAACATGGTGTTATTGTTGTTGTGCCACTGTTGTTGCTGGTGGTTGCGTTGGTAGTGTATACTGGTGGCCAGTATAAAGTATTTACTGGTTGTGATGTATGCGTCATCCGTGTTGTGGTTGGTGATTTTATCGTTTGTATCGTTTCCTCATTCACAATAGACGAGGGTGTTATCGTTGAAGAAAGACTAGTATTACCTACTTCTATGATTGAGTTGAACTGATTCGCAGTTGAATGATGAATCTGCTGACCGCCGATCGGTGTTGGATTCATTGTATACTGATGCGTAAATATCAGGCCATTCGAATGGAATGTTGGCTGTTGTGGAATGCTTGACATAAGAACAGATGTAGGCAGTGTGTTTGATGATATAGATATGGGTGGATTGTATATCATTTGATAATTTGACGAGATATTTATAGGATTTATAGGATTAAGGAGATTATGTGTTGTTGCCTCAGGAAGCCGTGTGGAGTCCACAGGTGAGGTGGAGATACCGACAGCTTCAGCTGCTGCCGCGGCAGCTTCAGCTCGTTTACGTGCTCGATTCGCTTCAATCAGGCGACGTTTTGCTAGACGTTTATCTTCGTCGAGGACAACTATAGAAATGGGAAAAGAGTAGATAACATGTTAGGGATAAAAAAACTAACCAGGTAATGGATTAACAATTCAAATTCAAAGAAAAGTTTTGCTTGCAGAGTGATATTCTTAATATTGTGGTGGATTAGATTATGCAGAAGACTGTACGAGAGGAGGGAGGAGACAGCAATACACTGGACAACCGATAGGAAGACTCTAGAAGATCTGGATTTCTCAGATGACATATATGTCTAATGTCAAACAAAGTCGAAGACTTACAGGCAGGCAGGCAGGCGAAAACTAACAAACTGGTTGAAGAGGCTGGCAGCGAAGACAGGAGGATTACAGGTGAACATAGACAAGATGGAGCCGCAATAATAACAAAAACCAGCACCAATCACCATCAACGGGAGAAATTTAGCACAGGTTAACTCCTTTACTTATCTGGCTAAGAAGCATCGTTTCAACTACAGCTGGTGGAACGGGTGAAGGTGTCATAGGCAGCCAGAATCGGAAGGTCAGCATACACACGTCCATCAGCCTAAAACCAACTTGAAAATCTTCTGTATTCAGCTAGCATAAGTATTTTCAGCACTAATATGAAGTCAGTCAGTCAGTCAGTTCTTCCACATGGGTCAGAAACTTGCACTGCGTATACGTCACGAAAAGTATCACCAACAGGCCACTGATGTCTTTCTTTAAAAGCCACCTCATTCGTCGGCTGCATTGTGAAGATCAAATGACCAGCCAGCAGGCAGAAGAGAAATAATTAGTAACAAGAAACAGTGGGAACAAACCAACAGACGAGAGCTGATCGCTCAACAGATATATAGGAGAAAATAGAGATGGATTGATATGGCACACGTCACTAATGAGGCAGTCGAATGACATGGTGCGCAATGCATGCCATTGCTGGAGTGGAATGCGAATGTGAAGCGATGAGTGGGTCGTCAGTACGACGGCAATATGGTGGAGATCGTGTGAAGAGGAGGAGTAGATGAGAGATTATGTTCAGTCGTGGAGCTAGCCAGGTGAATAGGGCAGCGAGGAATAAAAAGGAAGTGGATACATGTTGTTGAAGCCCACCTATATTGCACATGGAACCCAAGCAAATAATAATAAAAATCTACATTTTATATATGTTCCAAAAGACCTGTTAGGGTTCCAGTATTACCTGAAAAAAACATTATTCCTATCATATTACAATAATTCTCTAACTACTATGGATGTTTTAGTTCGATCACGGATCGTCGCCAGTTATAGAATACTTGGAAACTAGCAGGAAATACTCAAAAAACTGTTTCGCCCTCGCTTAAGATTCTTCAACAGCATTCACTCATTAATTTTCCCCTGGAGATTGAATTCAGGACAGTTAAGTTACGAGCAGGGCCGTTGACTATTTAGCTAATTCGTGATATACAGCGTGACCCCGCCAGCCAATGTGACCAGTGAGTGAGTGAGTGAGTGAGTGGTGGTCTTCACTGATCACGATTTCGCACTAGAAAGTCAGGCAACTTCGTTCTGTAGTCAGTCACTAGTGTCTATCAGATGAGAATTTATTATTATTATTTTCAATATTTCTTTTAATTCCTAGAGGAACATAGGGCTTCAACGATGCGTCTCCATTGCCTTCGGCTTTCTGCCAACTTTTTCACTCCGCTCCAAGTCTGCCCACATGCTTCCATCTCCTCTTCAAATGACCTCCTCCAAGTCACTCTCGCAATGACGACCAACTTGCCGCTTCCATTTCGGCTAGGTTCCACTCGACCGATGGCTTGTCTAGTGATGTCACTTGATGGTGTGTTTCCTCAGACTATGGCCAATACATCTCCATTTCTTCCTGCCTATTTGTTTCACAATCGGTTCCTGCTATTTTGGTTCGCTCATTGCCAGAGATCCCTGTTGCTCTTCTTTTCTGGCCGACCATCTGATCTTGAGTATTGAGCGAAGACAGCTGTTGATGGAGGTCTGTAGTTTGTTTGAGGTGCTCTTTATGACACGCAGTGCAGGTCTCTGATCCGTATAGTAAGTAGCACTGACTGACTTCACATTGGAGTTGAAAATCTGGATCTTATATTCGTTTTCATGCTGAGCAGTGCATTTGACCTCCACAGAAACTTGAGAGTTATGAGACCTTGTCTTGCTTTCCCGATCCTCACACTTTAATATCCTCGTCAGTTCCGCCTGTAGTTGAAACGATACTTTCCAGGTAGGTAGGTGAAGGAGATTGCTTCTTTCAGATTCCTCCCATTTACGCTGGCTGATTGATGTCTGTTGTTGTTGGTGTTGGCCAGGAATCTTCATCACCTCTGCTTTCTCTATGTTTACTTGGAATCCTATCTTTGATGCTGAATGGTACAGGAGCTCGCTAGCCTTGTACCCGTGAGGTCCTGCGTTCGAACCCCAATAGGATGGGTGTGTACTGTCGACGATCCCCAAAAATTAGGATGAAACACCTGGTTGTCCAGTACTCCCTCCCTGCCTGGTGGTTTTCAATATTTCTCTAACTAACTGATATCAGTCCGTCATCAAACTGGTATAAATAAAAATTATACTGTTACGTGTTTAGTAAAAAATAGTGAAATACTTAAAATTGTATCTTTTTTTGTCGTATTCAGATTAATTCGCTTATCATGCATCCAACTTATGATGCGTATTAGATAAATAACAATAATGCCATGTATTATTATTATTATTATTATCTTATTCTTATAAAACCATCCATCCAGCAGAATGTGAACGTATTTCTCATTGTCGTTATCTTATATTCTCTCTCTATTCAGGATTACAACGATAATTACTTTAGAACAACATGATACACACACACCAAACGCACACACACACACACGCACACTGGTGGAGGTACGCACTACACTGTCTACATACAACATTCATTAAGAAGTTATAATTTCTTATGCATGGTGTGGTATAGATAACCACTAACACGTATAGGCATACACGATAAAAATGACCTTGTATGACATAGCGATAGAGATAGACAGATAGATGGATAGACAGACAGGCACATGTGCAGACTAACATTTATAAATCGACCATGTGACCTCAATTTAAATAGGCCTGACAGGCTGAAATACAGACACACACATGCATGCTCGGTTTACCTATTATATTTTGCTATTAATATTATTAAAATTAACGATTAGTATTTATTATAGATTGTCATTAGTATTAGTATTATTTCGAATGAAATGACCTAAGCATTAAGTGACCTTTGACTTACAGACATGTTTTTCAAAAAAAATGTACCACCCAGGTAAATAAACATGCGTTATTAGAAGACGGAGACTATCTGAAAAATGTGATGTATTAGCGCTATACATTTCGAACAATCTGATCACACATTTACTTGTCAAGTCAATATTTATAGAAAGGTTAAATTAAACAAAGTGAGAGAAAACGGAATTAAGAATAATTAACACAAACGTTTGGTAATTCAATCAAATAAGGATTACCAAGGTAGGTTAAGAGTAATGACAAACTGTTTTTGAATACACAGGGGGGGGGGGCTTAAGTCTATGAATAGCTATAGCCTCAGCGTATTTCAGTAAACGCCCTTGACCGTTTTTATAGATGACCTTAAAGGCTGAGTTAACATCAATCTTATGGTACATCTCGATTAGATGTTTAGCTATAGACGAATTTAGTAGTCTACCACGTTGCACACCTCGTGAGTGCTAACCAGTTTGTTTAGGTCAGATTTATGCCTAAAAGTGAAATTGACTGTTTGGCATTTGGAGGGATTTAAGGTTAGACCGTTTTCCCTGGACCACTGGCTGATATCTGATAAAAAGAACCATTTAGTTTGACATTTGACAGGGAAAGATACAGTCAGATCGTCAGCATATTTGACAAAATGAATGTCATTTGAAGATGGTAATTCATGTAGAAAGAAGGAAAGAGAAGAGAAGTGGGGAGAGTACAGCACCTTGGGGAACACCAGCTTCAGTGAGCACAGCAGAGGAGGATTTGCCTTTTTATACGATATAGTGCATTCTGTTAGAGAAGTAGGAATGCAACCAGTTTGTGTCATCGAGAACTTACTTAGCAAGAGAAATCTAGGTACATAGTCGAAAGCAGAAGTAAAGTCGAGAAATGTGACGATACTGTTGTGTAAGACGGCTGCAGCGTCCAAAGTAAATGAAAAGTAAATAAATGAGACATTATAAACAGCTTTATACAACAAAATAAAAAAGTAATAATAATAGTATCAGTAATAATAATAATAATCATGAGTACTACTTACGATCTTTAGCCATACCACCTTTGATGCATCGATCGAAACGGCATTTTTGACAGCTATTACGATTCTGTTTATCGGCAACTGAACAACGACCTTGAAATTTACAGGTATACACGAGTTTCTTCTGTACAGAACGTCGAAAAAAGCCTTTACAACCTTCACATGTCATAGCACGATAATGAAAACCAGTAGCATTATCACCACAGACAACACATGGTTCAGGACCAGATGATGGATCCATATAACTTGGAATGTAAGGTTCTCCTTTGAAGGAAAATGTAGAAAGTGGAAAAAAAAGAATTATTGGAAAAGTATAATTATATGATAAGAATGAAATCAAATCTTGAAGTAATTGTAAGCATTTCATAATTAGCTAAGAGATTAGTTTTATCGTTCTTGAGACCATTGAATTGTGTGGTTAAATAATAAATAGTACAGTAAAAACTATCAATAGCTCGATGGAAGATGATCTGGTGGTCGCAGGGACTGAAAAATCATCTTTCCACTTGGTATTTCCTCATTCAAGTCATCTCTGGCATACATCTGATGTCAGGACATGCATAATAGAACATGTGTACTGCGCCGCAGTTCACTCAGTCCTCCTTTATGGCTGTGAGGCATGGCTATTTAGAGTGGAGGATATGGAAAGGCTAGCTAACTGTATTGGATTATGGGTGTTAGTGTCCCATATGCCATATTATTTGATATAATATGGTGATTAATATTGGGCATTAGCTTGGTGTGAGTGAGTCAATCAATGGAATTGTCAAGATATATCGACTAAGGTGGCCAAGACATGTGTAAGGTGTGTTCAAACACGTTTTTCACGTCAAATAGCGTCGATTTATATAAAGTTCTTCGGAGGATTTGATCATCGTGAGCTGACATCGGTTAGAGAACCTTTGGAAAACCAGCAAGGGAGTACTGGACAGTCTGCTGTTTCGTAAGTCTAGTTTGTAACTGTTCTTCAGCATGCACCAATCGCCAGACGTCAAACCCAGGACCTTCTGGTTACAAGTCTAGCGAGCTCGTAAACCATCAGGCCACTATCACCCAACCCTTTGACCAGTCCATGAATTCTAGCTTTTGCCAATACACGATATAGAGTAACCACCAGTGGCTTAATGGTCTACGACCTCGCTAGGCTTGTAACCAGAAGACCATGGGTTCGAACCCCAATAGGTGGGTGCGTACCTCTGAAGAGTCCTAAACTAAGACGAAATAGCTGTCCAGTACACCCTGTACGTTTTCCAATGATTCTCTAACTAATGTCAGCTCATAATGAAATCCTGTTACCAATCAACCAAATCCCTACAAACCAACCCTTGAACAATTGGTTTTTATTGGAAACGCCTAACTTAACCTAACCTGACATAACGAAACGAGACGAGATGAGACCTCACCCTATATTACTCAAACACTAACCAGTTTGAAATAAATAATCTATAAATGCTGCCTTTCAGTTGGAAAACACCCACTCACACACACACATAATCACAGACTTATTTACTTATACACAGGGATGTAGTCGTCGTTTTGCCAGATTACGAATGACTCACTCCTCCTTTTGTGTCTGTAAGTAGAGAGAGACAGAGAGACAGTAGAGCAATCATAATTGCTTTTCTCTCTCTCTCCCTCGCTCTGTTTGTTTGTTGGTGTGGTGGTGGTTACTGAATAAACTCTCCTTTTCACATACTCACACTACACACGTTGTACAACACACATATAAGTATTTTGAGCAGACTAATAAAGGACTCAGGTTAAAACAAATCGACCGTTAAAAGAAAGAAAAAGAAACTCAGACAATAAATGTAACTAACTGACTGACTAACTGGCTAGCTGACTGATTGAATGAATGATTTTCATATTCACTAAAGATTTAACCTTCACCTCTCTTTTTCATTCTCTCTGTCTCATATTGTCTGGAAAGATAAGAGGATGTGAAATGTGAAATCTCATTTTAGTTTTAGGTCAGGAGACACTTTATGTGTGTTCTTCTCTAGTTAGTTAGTTAGTTTTTTCTCTCATTTCATGACCCCATTTCATAGCAGAAAATCTAACAGAGAATAAAGAATAAAGGTTAATTTTGTTATTTGTATTGAAAAAGAGAGGGTTCGGTGAATGTTAGATATGTGTGTGTGTGTGCAGGTGAACAATTACATCTCATCATCAGGCTAAATTCTAAACAGCTGTCCAGTATTATTATTATTTTTATTATTATATCCTTTAATTCCTAGAGGAACATAGGGCTTCAGCAGCGCGTCTCCATTGCCTTCGGCTTTCTGCCAACTTTTTCACTCCGCTCCAAGTCTGCCCACATGCTTCCATCTCTACTTCACATGACCTCCTCCAAGTCACTCTCGCACTAACGACCGACTCGCCGCTTCCATTTCGGCCAGGTTCCACTCGACCGATGGCTTGTCTAGTGATGTCACTTGATGGTGTGTTTCCTCAGACTATGGCCAATACATCTCCATTTCTTCCTGCCTATTTGTTTCACAATCGGTTCCTGCTATTTTGGTTCGCTCATTGCCAGAGATCCCTGTTGCTGATCTTTTCTAGCCGACCATCTGATCTTGAGTATTGAGCGAAGACAGCTGTTGATGGAGGTCTGTAGTTTGTTTGAGGTGCTATTTATGACACGCAGTGCAGGTCTCTGATCCGTATAGTAAGTAGCACTGACTGACTTCACATTGGAGTTGAAAATCTGGATCTTATATTCGTTTTCATGCTGAGCAGTGCATTTGACCTCCACAGAAACTTGAGAGTAATGACAGCTTATCTTGCTTTCCCGATCCTCACACTTCAATATCCTCGTCAGTTCCGCCTGTAGTTGAAACGATACTTTCCAGGTAGGTAGGTGAAGGAGATTGCTTCTTTCAGATTCCTCCCATTTACGCTGGCTGATTGTTGTCTGTTGTTGTTGGTGTTGGTGTTGGCCAGGAATCTTCATCACCTCTGTTTTCTCTATGTTTACTTGGAGTTCTATCTTTGATGCTTCTTCTTTGGCCAACTTGTTGCTTTTTACTTGCATATCTTCCAATTTGTGGGAAATCAGACATGTATCATCGGCGAAGTCCAGATCCTCCAAGTTTTTTGTGTGAGTCCATTTCATGCCTGGTTCCTCGTTGCCCGTCGCTGTCTGTCGCATTATCCAGTACTCCCAGGTTTTTGCAATGGTTCTCTAACCGATATCCTCCCCCAACCAATCAAATAATTATCCCTACAAAACTAATACTTGAAAATTGATCTAATGCTCACCAGAGATTGGCCCTATTCAGGCCGTGACCTGGGATGTTAATGGGAATCTGTGCCCAGTAGAGTGCTGCAGGTTGGCTGTGAGGATAAATACTCTTCGAAGACATTGGCTAGTGGTCGCGCTATGTCATGAGTTGGCAGAAGTGAGCATTTATGGAATGGCTATTGGATCATGTCGGCGGCCAGTGGCTTAATAGCCTACGAACTCGCTCACTTTGTAACCAGAAGGTCGTGGGTTTTAACCCCTCCCCCCCCCAAAGGATGGGTGCATACTGATGAAAAGTCCCAAACCAGAATGACGAAACAGTAGACAGTCCAGTACTATCTGATGGTGTTCCAGTGGTTCTTGTTATGTTCTAGTTTTCCCCGTCGCCAAATTGTTATGTACTCGTCGCTGAATTATTGTTATGGACTGGTCGAGAAACTAATAGTCCTGACGCGAGAAGGCGGAAATCAGAAGACCACTAGGTTTGCGATGATACTTCTATTGTCCAAACACAAGGAGACGAAAATAAATGGTCTCACACCAAAGTGGTAAGCAAGTCAAGTAGTTGTAAAGTAAAGTAGTTCACACAAATTGTGAATGCGAATATATATAAATAATTCAGACAAGCGTGGGAAAAATCATTAGACAGTCTTAACATGAATGGCTAATTATAATGGAGTGTCGATCCAATTATACATAGCGAATATAGCAGACATGCCAACAAACATATATGGATATATGTCACCAAGCAACGGACTGTCAACAAACACTCATATTATATATAATATAATATAAGGAGAATACACATTATTAAAGGAGACAAGTCCATACAAGTGAAGTGGTCACAGACTAACCGAGCAAACAGAAAGAGAGACCAACATGCACACACACAAATAAATATATATGTGGATACATATCACCTCCCCTTTTGAGAAGATGAATGATTAGTAGGATGTTTACCTGGGGGTTTATCTGGGACCTTTGGGCTTGTTGTTGACGCCTGTCGTTTCGTCTGATTGTTGGGTTTGCGGCTTCGGCTCCGTCCGGAATTGTCTAGCATTTTATGCTTCTTCACTGTATTGCGTAGAGAATTTAGTGGGACATCAGCCAGATGCAAACGATCGAACCAATCAAGTCCCAAAACATTTAAATCATTCTTCGTGACGTAACAAATTCCTGTGAATTTGGTATTGCGGAAGGAAACAGAACATTTGAGTTCACCAATTAGTTTGAGCCGCCCACCACAGGCGCTGACAAGAGACTGGGAAGTATTGGTGATAGGTGGTCTGCCAATATAATTCCAAAGTTTCTCTGATATAACAGTAATATCAGAGGCAGTATCTAGCTGCAGACGTGCATCATGACCATTCATCTGAAGGTCAATATATTTCCGCATAGCTGGTGTTGTGACTTGACAGGTTGCACGTAGACTCAGTGATCTTTTTGGAGATTTAGGACCAACATTTTGTTGAGCTTTTGCTGGATTTTGATATCTGGGTTTGCGTGGCTGACAAAAACCATTTTTGTGACCGATGATCTTGCACTTGCTGCAACGATGATTTTTGTATGGACAAGACTTTACAAAGTGCCACGCGCCACAATGCCAGCATGGTGATGGTGGGGTCTTCTTTGTCGTATTTTGTGAAGTTGGACGAGTATGTATAGATTTCCGCGGAACATTAGAAGAAGTAGGTGGGTCAGGAGTAGATGATGAGAGATTTTTGCTCTTTCGTAATGCACGAATATCAGAGCTTCTCGAAGGTGTTGATTCGACCAAGTGTGTGTCTTTCTGCAGATTAATCAGCCGTTGATATTCATCAGCTATGTCATGTAATGTTAACTTGGGATTTTGTTCTAGCTGATTGAGCAGTCGAGTTCGGATATCTGTGAAACGAGGAGATTGGAGACTGCATATGAGAATCAAGGCTTTGAACTGATCATCTGTTAAGGACCTGAGTCGAAATCTCTCACATTCTCGGTTGACTGTGCCAACGTGAGTAAGAAAATCATCATTTTCATT